GTACTGAAGCCTCGGAGGAGATGGGGAACATTCAAAGGCTAAAATAGCCTTTCTCAGGCTTCGGTCCAACACGTGTCTCTCCCACGCTGGGTACCTATTCCTGAACAGGTCAATTTTAATGACTGATTCTTCAATCCTTGGTGGTCGAGATGATGGGGTGGGTGGTGCCGTTGGTCTCACCTGAAACACAGGGACACATCCATCCCTCTCTGCAAATTTCTGATCTCGGTCACTGGCAACACTGCGGTTGTTGGAGATGGACCGTAGTGTGCTTGTGGCCACTTCTGGAGGCAGAGAGAAGGCAGTAGCAGGGTCATCACAAGCACAACTTGGTGACTGCCCAAATCTGGGCCCATTGGGGTGGAAGAAGGCATAGTACATCAGCATAAAAACAACGCCTGTTAAAAAGCTGCTGAAAACCACGCACAGTGCCGGGATGGCAAATGCATCTGCAATCTGGGGAGCTTTGTAGAGGTACCAGAGTGCACTCAAGGCTGTGTTTTCCAAAAGGATTACAAAATAGTAAATGAACAGCCTGCAGCGTGTCCTGCCTTCCTTGACATTGAACCAACTGAAGATGTAGATGATGCCCACCACCATGTCAAACACAATCTCTTCCCATTTGGTGATACAGAACTCTGTCTCACAGTGGACAATCCAGAAGGTCATGATGCACCAGTGGAGGACAATGAATATCCCAAAATACAGCTGGAAAACCGAAGCGAAGAGGGCAAATGTGATGACTCTGGCGGCGATGGTGAAGAAGTGCCAACAGAACTGGATGATGACGGCCATATAGCTGATGGGCTTTTTGTCATCTCTGGAGTCCCGAAGAGCCTTCTGGTAGGAGGCTAGGGCCCAAGCCAAGGACACAAGGGAGGCTGCTGCTGTAAAACCTACAAAGGCAAACAGAAAGACATCTGTCAAAAGTGAGAGGCCGTGATTGTAAAGATTCAGGCATTATACTGGCAGAACGTACTCAGGCGGTACCCTGGTCAGTCCAGAGTCCCACGATTGTATAGTCTGCACACAGGTTCAAAGGACGGCTTTAAAAGAAAGACCCCCGCCCACTTGTACTCTCTTTTCTAGTTCCCTGCCTCAGTCACCCTCACCTGCCATGGAATCTGCCATGGTCTGCCATGCAAGGACCCCCTCAAGCTTTATCCTAACAGTGATGGTACAGGAAGTCATGTCACATGGGTCTGGTGGCTTGGGGCAGGCTAGCTAGACCTCATCAGAGGCGATGAAATGTCTTTGAGTTTTAACTGGACTAAACAACCAGATGGAAGTCCTAGAAATTGTCCTCCATGAAGTGACAAAATTCCGAAAAGGCCTGAGTTAATGAATGGGACCACAAATCCAGCACAAGGTTTGGGAAATAATGGTGGGACTAGCTTTCAGTGTGCTTCTGTAAGTCGACCAAGGGAAAACTGCTATGTGCTGTTGCTTCAACTTAAAAAAGTGTTGCCTTCATCTGTGACTGTTTCTTGCTTTTGAAACCAGTGTCCTTGTTTAAAAGTGCTAATCTCATCAGCTTAGAGAGTCTTTCAGTATTTAAAAGGGACAGTTAGTAAAAGGAAACCAGACCAACTGGCAGCCGAGCAAGAATGATGTAGCTCATTTCCAAAGGCAGCTTACTCCTTCTTTACGCTAAAGACGAGAGTCCATGGAACAAGTTTGCTCTTATTGCTTGTGACACCTGGTGAGCAAAACATTCCTCTAAATGTCATCCAGTATTCTCCCTATAGATTTTGCACCTGCTTTCTGCCTTAGTCTTGAAGAAAGAAATGCCTGCTCACAGTCTTATACTCTGCTTTTCATAAATTAAAAATTGAACAGAAATCATTTAGTGATTTTTATCTTCAGCTCTACTTGGCTTGTATTCTCTCAGACAGCAAGATCTTTCCATTGATTTCCTGCACTCAGGCTCTGTCCACTGTGTCTCGAAGTTTATGTGCATGGTACAGATGTGGATACTGTTAACCTTAAGGCACCAAGCCTCCCAGGAGAGACTTCTTTTGGAGAATCATGTTTTGTTAATCTGTGTGGCAGCGTGTTTGCTTCGGGAACAATGACAAAATTTTCCAAGACTAAGAAGGTCTCATGGCTTGTAAAGTGCAAGTGACTTCTCCAGTCTGTCACTAATCATATATGGGCTGCACCCAAGTTTTTCTTCTTCTTTGGGAACAATGGAAGGTACTTTTCTTTAAAAAATACTTTTATTGAAGAAACCTTACTTTCTCCTACTCATAACAAATGAATTTTAAAGATGTTATAATGGAAAATAGTAAAACTGATTGGAAATAAACAAAACACTTATCAATAATCTATGAATGCCCCAAATATTTACAAAAATCATTCCCAGTTGTCACTTCTCAACTTTCTCCCAGTGCATCAAGCAGAAAACCTGTTCATTTTTGTGGGCACTGAGACCTTCAGATTATTTTCGTAGCTAGCATACACATTGCTAATTGCTAGAAGTCTTACTCAACTATGAATGGTCAGAAATCACCACACAGAGGAGTTTATGATAATTACATTCCTGCACATTGGAAAATACCAATTAAAGAAAAGTCAGGAATGAAAAGGGAAGGAAAAGTAAAAAAACAAACAAGCAAAAAAAAAAAAACAACACAAAGAAAGTGAGTGGATGGGAAACAGAAGGTGACAAGATCATATATGTGACCAACAGATTCATGATGAATTTGTGATCCAAGAACAAAGATTGTGCAATTTGAATCTTAACATCTGTTCCACACAGCTTAGGAGCTGCTTGTTTTCTCTTTTCATCTGCACCATTTGCAAAACTACAGCCTGAGTCACCTCTTTTCTTAATAAAGGCTGGCCCCAAGCTCCAATCCCCCTGCTTCATCCTTGAGCAGTGGGGTGACTGTGTGCTGCAAGCAGCCTCTTGAATAGATTGTACTCTTATGTTTTTAAGGTTGCTACTGGGCTGTTGCTGTGCCAAGAAGCCTCTTCTCTTGTCTCATGCTAGCTTCCTGAGCAAGTGCTCCAGTGTAGAACATGTGGGAATGACAATGGCTTATGGGCAGGCTTCCCTTTGCTCTGACCAGGGAAGTTGTTATCCAAGACTGTTTTCTAACACTTGGAAGTATGTTGAACATCCCTAATCCAAAAGGTGTGCTTACATGACACTGCAGGTAGAAAGCTTCCTACCAGGCCTCATGGGATAGGTCACAGTCAGAATGCAGTCACACTAAAAATACTGGGTAAGGTGACTTTTAGAACACGTGTGCAAGGTACATATGGAACAAGTGATTTCATGTTTGACTTGAACCTCACATTTAAGAATGTATAACCATGTCTAAACAAGTATTCTGAATTCTTGCACCATAATTCAAAATTTAAAATACTTCTGGTTTTAAACGCTTTAGATAAACTCTAAACTTGTAGTGGCTGGGGGACACAGCATCATAAAGATACCTGTTGCCAATGGTAAAAGAATAGAAAATAGGACACAGCATCATAAAGATACCTGTTGCCAATGGTAAAAGAATAGAAAATTAATTGCTTCCAAATTTCCCTGTAATCTTTGTGAGCAATTCAACCTGTGTGACACACTAGGCATTAAAGATGACAGGCTGGAAGTACAGAAAAGGAACACTTTGATTTGCCTTGACTTCTTCATACATGACTTACAATTAAGAGAATCTATAGCAGAGAGAAATTCATGCTAATCTTGACTCTTTTAGCCACGAGTGGGTTTCTCTTTTTCATTTTTTCCTATTAAGTCATTAATTTTCTTCTTTTAAAAATGTGTTTTCAATTGAAATAGAATTAATCATTTTCTCTCTTCCCTTCCCTTCCTCCAGCCCCTTCCAGCTGCAATCCCTTGAGCCCTTCTCATGACTCCCCCATTCTCGGGTTGATAGCCTTTTTCATTATTGTTACATTCATATGTGTATGCATAAATGTGTATACATGAATATATTACACACTTCTTCATTTAGTAGTAAACTATTATAAGACAAATACAGATCTAATCAGAAGTTCAAGGCTATTGTAGAGTTAAGCTCCCTAGTGTTCATTTCTTTTTCTAAATCTGTCAATAGCCCAGTTTCATTTCTTACAAATTACAATAGATCAGTTATAAATTCACACTTGCCATGGAGTGCTTAGAGTGTAAGTTCTTTATGCAAATACCATCACCTTTGTCATTTGCAATGCTAATGTAGATTCCCTGGTGCACCCCATACAAATTCTGTGGGTTGTGGAGCCCCTTACCCTAAAGTGCATCAGTGCATACTTCTACAGTAGGGAAATTTTCTTCCATAATTACAGTAAAGCCATCATCTTTAGACAATTTAGCATCAATACAACACATTTTACTCCCCTATCATGTGTTTTTTACTTTTGTCAAATGACGTAAATGATGCCCACTCTAGGTTGAATCTAGGGTAAGGTTTTACATTCAGTAGCTCCCTTAATTTAGTTTTCTTTGGTATGGACTATTTCACCGGGTTTCTTTGCCTTATCATAACACTGGTATATCCTGAAGAGCACAGTATCTCAAAAAGGAAAGCAGTATTCCTCATTTGAAGTTTATTTTTCTTCCTGTATGATTACATTTAGGTTATACATTTCAGTTAGGAATACACAACTGACATAGAACAACAAAGTTTTTGCACATTAGATACTAAAATATAAAGATTCTTTCTACAGTCTCTCTGTGTTTCATATTGCTTATGAAAATCTTGTTCTAATGGTGAAAATGGCCAGAGGGAACTTGAGAGGTTTACATTATTCCTTAATGTGTAAGATAGCTATAATACCCTGGAGCTTACCGATTCACCTTTCGTTGAGAAGAAATTGAGCCTTACTTTTAATAGGTTAAATGGTTCATGTCCCTGCCTTAAGCTACCTCAAAGCTAACTCTTGCTTTCTTAAGACCAGCCTTTGTTGGTTATGCCAATTTTCTCTGCATTCTATTCTTCTATCCATCTCTTTACTAGCTGGTTTCCTGGGCCTCCAGCATCTTAAGAAACACTACTCACTGGACTGTCGGACTGTCACTTCTCTATTTCAGATATGCTTCTTGCTGCTTTTGTCTTTCCTCTTTTGTCTGTTGGTCTTTGAGCTACAGACATTAGGAAGCAGCTGCCCTAGGGCCTTTTCCCTTCCCAGCCTAAGTCATTCCATATCCTACAATACCTCAAACCTAGCACCATCCTGACCACCCTCCTTTTTGTGCTCTGGAGTCATGTCTGTTTATCTGAGACCTCACCTGGAAGCAGCCTAGTCCTTTGGTGACAATCTCTGATTTCTCTTGGAGGTTGTTGTTATTGTTTTTCTGGGGGAAAGTGAATGGGAAAAGGGAAGAGGGAAGAAGGGAGGAGGAGACTGGCCTCTGGGGACAGGAGCAGAAGAGAAGAGAGAGGCAGGGTTGGGGGGGGGGAAGAGAACACAAACACACACACACAACAAAACACAACCACAAACACACAGCGAGAGA